TCCAGTTTTAAAAATGCTTTGGAATATCTTGGAGGCTATACCTTAGCAGCAGAATTTAAACAGAAACAGACACATAGGACCTCATGTTTAAATGTGCTGTTAGACTTGAGTATCAAAAACATATGTATTTTCCTCAGTCCAGCTTTCTCATGGGCCTATTTGGGTTTCAAATTATCTAGTACACTGCTCTTCCTCTTATAGTTTTCTGTAGTACAGTTTCAAGTAGTGTAGTAGGTAATAACCATAAAATTTTAATGAGAACTTTGTAAAGCCACTTTTCCTTTCGTTAGCATGAACTTTTTTAAACTTTGGAAAAGTAGGCCAAGCTTAAGTTCCATGGAATGTAAAGGTAAATCTTCTGCATCTGTTCCAAATCATCATCATCATCATCATCATCATCATAAATTTATATCCTCATAGGCTTCCCTTAGCATGGGAAATTATATTTTAGGTGAAGATGTTGGGAAGTTATTTCTAAGAGGAAAACCCTGGACCTTGCCATATGTCATCCATATCAGTAAATTGTATGGATTAATATATTAGTCTATATTGGGAGAATAAGGATAGGAAGGAAATGGGTGAAACTTAGCTAATTCACTCAAATGTGTTTTTAGAGCATTCCAAATGGCACTGTTTTTATAATGAAAATACACTTATATGCTTTTGAAGTAAGATATCTACTACAGTTGGGCTGCATGTTAAAACTGTTGCTAGCAGTAAAACAAAATGGAATTACTGTATCTAACTCAGGGTCAGAATTCTCTTCCAAATGTGACTTTTATGAAATATGGCTTTTTAGTACATTTTATGTAACATTTATAAATTAAGAATTTAATAACTTTTTATGTTTTAGGAAGAGATTGTTTAAGTTTCTTCTATGAACGATAATTTATCTAGAAGACAAGCTGCACAAATTCATTTGGCCAATAATATAATTAGATTATCCCAATTTGCAACAGTAGAAAATAATCTTATATTATTTTTTACACATTTTATTTAAAATGTAATGGAAAAAATTAAGTCAAGCATATGAAATAACTTTTTTTAGACAGAAGGCCTTATTTAACCTAGTTGAGAGTGCCAATTGTTTTTGTTGTTGGTTTATGCACTAGTGGGGATGGAACCCCAACCCTTTTTGGGTTTGTTTGTTTGTTTGTTTGTTTTCTCATTGAGTTATTGGTACATTCTAGGTATGTAGTACAGTTGCATTCATTATTGGGATCTTGTACCTTTACATGACAGGTCTTGGTTCTCATTTTTTCCTCTTCTCCCTGCCCTCCCTTCAGCCGCTTTTTGTTTTATTTTGAGATGGGGTCTCTCTAAATTGCCCAAAGTAGTCTCAGACTTGTGATCCTCCTGCTTCAGCTTCCAGAATAGCTGGGATTACAGGCATATGTCACTGTATCCAGTGGTTGTGACCATTTGATGAAGGTAGGGACTTACTACAGGACTCAGATAGAACCTAATTTCCCAGATCAAGAGTGTGTGGACCTTTCAGCATTGCACTGCACAAATGTCACATCCACACAGGTGGCCTGATAGTCCCTAGCTGGCTGACTGTATTTAACTTACCCACTTAGGAAAGGTGTCCAAATACAAATAAGAACAATATTGTAATAAGAATCTATAATTTCTTCAATAAAAGAAAAAGGTTTTTTTAATGGTAGCATGACTATTATAGTCAACTTGAAATATATTCTCTAGAGCTGCAGATTCGTTGAATCCAGGTTAATTCTCTGCCTATGCATGCTGTTGGAAGTGGTGAAGGGAAGCTTATGTGGATTTATCTGCAAAAGAAGGAAAGGGAAAGTAATAGAAGCAGGAGACATGGAGAGACAGAGGGCATGTTTACTCCAGTGAGAAAGGTCCATATTGTGCACTTTAACATAAAATGTGGGAACATATAAGTCTATTTACCCTTCTGCTGTTTTACCTATAGGTATCATTTTTTGGATCTATGTACATTGCAGACCTTCCAAGACAATGTTAAAATGTTTTCTCTACAAAAAAGTAAGAAAAAAATGTCATATATTTACCATTCATGATGCACTTTACTCAAGTTTCCTTCTGATATAGTTTCCCTTTAGCATGCCTTGTAGTATACAGGTCTTCTGATGATCACGTCTCAGTTTTCATTTATTTGAAGTGTCTTTATTTCCACCTTCATTTTGGAGATGGAATATGGGTTACATATTAGACTCTGGGTTCACAGGAATTTTTTGTCAGCCCTGGAAAGATGTCACACCCTGTCTCTTGGTTACCAATAGTATTTTTTTATGATAAGCTCATGATCATTAAAATTGTATTTTCCCTGTATATAATAATTTTTCTCTGCTTTCAAGAATTTTAGGTTTCAGCACTATGGCTGTGATGTCTCTAGGCATTTTGCATGTGTGTATTTAATCTGTTTGGCACTTGCTAGACTTCTTGATCTCCAGGTTAATTCTCTGCCTATGCATGCTGTTGGAAGTGGTGAAGGGAAGCTTATGTGGATTTATCTGCAAAAGAAGGAAAGGGAAAGTAATAGAAGCAGGAGACATGGAGAGACAGAGGGCATGTTTACTCCAGTGAGAAAGGTCCATATTGTGCACTTTAACATAAAATGTGGGAACATATAAGTCTATTTACCCTTCTGCTGTTTTACCTATAGGTATCATTTTTTGGATCTATGTACATTGCAGACCTTCCAAGACAATGTTAAAATGCTTTCTCTACAAAAAAGTAAGAAAAAAATGTCATATATTTACCATGATGCACTTTACTCAAGTTTCCTTCTGATATAGTTTCCCTTTAGCGTGCCTTGTAGTATACAGGTCTTCTGGTGATCACGTCTCAGTTTTCATTTATTTGAAGTGTCTTTATTTCCTCCTTCATTTTGGAGATGGAATATGGGTTACATATTAGACTCTGGGTTCACAGGAATTTTTTCTCAGCCCTTGAAAGATGTCACACCCTGTCTCTTGGTTACCAATAGTATTTTTTTATGAGAAGCTCATGATCATTACAATTGTATTTTCCCTGTATATAATAATTTTTCTCTGCTTTCAAGAATTTTAGGTTTCAGCACTATGGCTGTGATGTCTCTAGGCATTTTGCATGTGTGTATTTAATCTGTTTGGCACTTGCTAGACTTCTTGATCTGCAAGTCTGTGTCTTTCACTAAATTTGGGAATTATTGAGCTATTGGTTTTTCAAATATAGTTTTCTACTCTATTCACTCCCTCCTCTCCTTTTGTAATTTCAAACATCCATACAAGTAGACTTCTGGTGCTGGCCTCACAAGTGTGTGAGTCTTCATTCTTTGTTGTTGTTTTATGTTGCAGCACTGAAGATTGAATCCAGAGTTTTTGCTCTGAGCATTATCCCTGGTTCTTTTTAGCTTTCATTTTGAGGCAAGATATAAGTCACTAAGTTACCAGGCTGGGCTCACATTTGTGATCTTCAACCCTTCAGAGATTGTGCCTCAGCCCTCAGAGGGCTGGGATTACAGATGTGTGCTACCACACCTGGATCTACATTTGTTTCTAAATTCATTTAAATGTGTGTGTTTTTTTTTAATCTCTGTCCTTCAGCTTGGATAATGTACTTTCAAATTCACTAATACTTTATTATCTTTCCATTCTTTTGTTAAACGTATTCTGCAGATTTTTAAAAAATTTTTAGATATATTTTACAATTTTAGAATTTCCATTTTTTTCTTTTAATAGTTTATTTCTGTTGAGATACCTTGCATTTTTATTCATTGTTTGGCACTTGCTAGACTTCTTGATCTGCAAGTCTGTGTCTTTCACTAAATTTGGGAATTATTGAGCTATTGGTTTTTCAAATATAGTTTTCTACTCTATTCACTCCCTCCTCTCCTTTTGTAATTTCAAACATCCATACAAGTAGACTTCTGGTGCTGGCCTCACAAGTGTGTGAGTCTTCATTCTTTGTTGTTGTTTTATGTTGCAGCACTGAAGATTGAATCCAGAGTTTTTGCTCTGAGCATTATCCCTGGTTCTTTTTAGCTTTCATTTTGAGGCAAGATATAAGTCACTAAGTTACCAGGCTGGGCTCAAATTTGTGATCTTCAACCCTTCAGAGATTGTGCCTCAACCCTCAGAGGGCTGGGATTACAGATGTGTGCTACCACACCTGGATCTACATTTGTTTCTAAATTCATTTAAATGTGTGTGTTTTTTTTTAATCTCTGTCCTTCAGCTTGGATAATGTACTTTCAAATTCACTAATACTTTATTATCTTTCCATTCTTTTGTTAAACGTATTCTGCAGATTTTTAAAAAATTTTTAGATATATTTTACAATTTTAGAATTTCCATGTTTTTCTTTTAATAGTTTATTTCTGTTGAGATACCTTGCATTTTTATTCGTTGCAAGTGTATTTTCTGTGATGTCATTGAACACACCAGTTAAATAACTACTTTAAAGTCTGATCATTCCAACATACGGGTGTTCTGGGAGTTTGAACTATTGATGGTATTCTCTCTAAGCTGAGTATTTCTCTGCCAGCCTGTTTTGTTGGTTACAGCCTGGTGGACACAATTACAAAAAGTATGTGTATGTTCTAAGACCCTCCATCTTGTTGTCTTTTTTCAGAGTGTATAGGTAATTTTCTTCTAGTAGGCAATTTGCTTGGGTAAACTAAAAGTAAAACTTCTCACTGGTAAGAGATGAAAGCTCAAATCCTTATCTAGTTTTTTAATAGTTTTTGTATATAATTATAAATATCTGGACATCCACAGGTGATTAATTTACTTTGTAAGATTCAAAGGATTGATTTTATATAGTAGGTAACAGATCCTGGTATGGGAAGTTGTAGTCATCTGGTTTTGATAGTATTTTCCCCTGTAATCTCAAATTGCCATTAAAATATTCCACCCTACTTTATGCCTCAGTTTTTCCTGAGAACAGGTTATTTCATTGAAAATCAATCGCTGAACACAATTTTGTATTTAATCTGGCATTGCATTTAAAATGCCTTTTTGTTTGTGTTTTAGGAAAAAGTGCTGCAAAGGGTATAAGTTTGTTCTTGGACAATGCATCCCAGAAGGTATGTAATATAAAAGATAACCTCATACCACTTCATTCATAATTAATCATTAAACATGCATAAAGTTCAGATACACCCAGAATTTATGTGTGTTATTTGTGTTTGATTGTGTGTTTGTGTACAATTCTCTATGGCTTTGAATTCACATATGCTTATTTGATTATATATTATATTCTTTGTCTAAATCATTACACATTGTGCTCACACACGTTGAGTCTTCCTTATGTTTCAGGTTTATACTTAATAGTAATTCCTTAAGTAGCATTTTGTGCACCAATTATAGCACAGCCCTCCTCCCTGACTCCTTTACCTGTTTTCCATGTGCTGAACTTGAAGCCCTTTACATGACCATCAGCAAACATTAAATGCTCAGCCCACATATAAAGACAGAGGTATAAAGTATGGACCCAGTCCCTCCAGGTGCATTCTTGAGTGAGGTACCTTGTATGGAATCTGATAGATTTGGATATAACCATTCTTCTACATTGTCTGAATTGATTTTCTCATTACTAAGATAAAATATCTAACACCTAAAGTTGAGGAAAGGTTTATTTAGCTCCCAGATTGTAAAGGTTTCAGTCCATAGCTGGCACCAAGGCAGGTTGGCATGGCACAGGGGAATTACAGCAGAGAAGCAGTTCATGGCAGGCAGAAGGCAGCAAGCAACAGCAGCAGCAGCAATGGAAGCAGTTTTTTCTGTCACTTTATATTCCATCCAGGCTACCTCCCTTTTGGGTGGTACCATTTACACCCAGGG